CTATCAGGATGAGTACCGATACGTCCTCATCAAAACAATGATGTACAGTACTATAGTCAGTGGTGCTACATTGGACCGCTACTTAAAAGTATCTTCACATATTACACTTACAGATGTATTTTTTTATTTCTGTTTTTTCTAGTATTTTTTTTATTTTTTTTTTATAAAAATCTCATTTGACATTTTACCTCAGCCTCAATTTGTTCTTATTTTGTTCTTAATTTTTAAGCAATTTCAGCCTCAGTTTTCTTAATGAATGTGTTCTTTTTTTTTTTAAATAGTCTACCTACCCTCATATTTTGGTCGAGTGTAGCGAATTCCAATGCGACGTGGTCTACGGCCAAACCAATTCGAACACATACCTATCATCTCGTTGGCCTAATTTTCCAGACACGGATTTTATGAATTAGCTCTCAGAATCTAGTAATTCGACGAATTAGAGCTGGTAATGTTGATATATTAACATGTCAAAACAGGAACGCTTATAAATAATGGCTACGGCATTAATGTTGAAAACACCCGTCAGAATTTATGGACACGAGCGATGACCGGGGTCAACAATCTAACACCATTTTTGTAAGATATATTTAGAAAAAACAATGAGCACGTACTCATCTTGATAGACGTTACCGTCGGGTGCGGGGTGGGGAAGGCGGGGCCAGTGCAAACTATTGAAAAAAAAAAGATATGTATGAAATGTATCTTACCTTAAAGGGGAAAATGTTACAATATGGAACACAAATGACCAAGGTCTATTTGACATCTGCATGTAACATGTAAAATGTTATTGTAGACATTGAGTCGAGTGCTATGATCCACTTCAAATACCTAGAGAGACAATAAAAACACAATTTCATATTTACTCATCGTAAAGCTTAATGCCTATCACAGGAATGTTACATAGGGTGAGTAGGCCTAATTTGAATTTATTATCTTTAGGGAAGATTATTGAAGGGTCAACGAATAAAAAAAGAAACCCCTTACATAGGAGGAGGATAAAAAGGACGTGATTTTGATTGACCTTCAATTAAACTTTTATGTTTAAAACAACTGACCGACCAGGACAGGGGCAGGAATACGAGCTTGCCTATCAAACACACTTGTTCCGCCACAAGCGCACCTGGTGGTAGCCACTGTGTGTGCGCTGAACCGTGGAAATCTCTAGGTCCCCGGTTCAATTCCCATTGCTGCCTCTCCTTGTGTTTCAGCTAGAGGGCTGAAATACAAGTTACAATAGCGCACCGTCTTTCGGATGAGACGTTTAAGCCGTTGGTCCCGTGTGCATTTATGGCCCATGTGCACGTTAAAGAACGCGGTACACTCTTCGGAAAAGAGTAGGGGATTGTCTCCCGGTGTACTGT